GGCCCCTTCTATGCTCACTGACACCATCATCACACGTCCGATACAAAACGTTTCCCCATCCGAGACGATTTCTAACACTCGTTACTTTGTGACATTCTGAAGGGCGGAGCTTACTATTATTTTATGTTTTAAAGTTTGACGAAACATTATCCTCACCGGCGACTTTATGAGGTCCCCCTCGCTGGTCCCGGGTGGGACCCCCTTTGGCCTTCATTCTTCATGGCGTAGATCCAACAAGGTGTTGGAAACGTTCCTCAGAGGTTTTTCTCCATATTGACATGATGGCTGCAGATTTCTCGGCTGCACATCCATGATGGGAAACAAGGCATTTGCCTAGGGCGGCATTTTTCAGAGGGGCAGCACTGCCCCCCAGAAGAAGGGACACATGTGGCATGGGAACCAGGAGGGATCCGAGATAGGCTGCATGATGGTGTATGCAGAGCCCGACTCTCATTCCCGGGGATGACCAGAGCTGTGTAGATCAGTGTGTCTCTCTCTCTCCCCACGGGGAGGGGGGAGTTCGATGGCCAGTGTATGGGGGCGGTAGTAGAAGGCTCTCTCAGGTGGTGGGGGGGGGGGGGGCCGGGGTGTTGTTGGTGAATGTCAGGCTCAGCCTTGGTGTCTGGCTGTTAACTAGATCACTGTTAGATGTTAGCTATCCATTAGATGTACTGATGATATTACTTTTTACAGTTTGCATTGTTTAGGACAATGTGCTCTAACCTGATTCTGTGTGAGTTGAGTAAGAGAGAGTTCCAGTTTGCACCTAAGCTGGTGTCGTCTAATTCTCGGGTGCAATGCCCGGCTATAATACCTTGACCCTTGACCCTGTGTGCCAGCGGGGAGGAAGTAGTTCTCTGAGGGAATCACCCAGGCGGGGTGCCAGGCGGTCCGTCACAGGTATTGTGTTGTCAGGATCCCTTTACAAGTATTTCCATAACTTGACTTTCTGTGTGAGAACCCTGCGTGGGGAAGCCTGTGTGAGAACCCTGCGTGGGGAAGCCTGTGTGAGAACCCTGCGTGGGGAAGCCTGTGTGAGAGCCCTGCGTGGGGAACCCTGTGTGAGAGCCCTGCGTGGGGAACCCTGTGTGAGAGCCCTGCGTGGGGAACCCTGTGTGAGAGCCCTGCGTGGGGAACTCTGTGTGAGAACCCTGCGTGGGGAACCCTGTGTGAGAGCCCTGCGTGGGGAACCCTGTGTGAGAGCCCTGCGTGGGGAACCCTGTGTGAGAGCCCTGCGTGGGGAACCCTGTGTGAGAGCCCTGCGTGGGGAACCCTGTGTGAGAGCCCTGCGTGGGGAACCTGTGTGAGAACCCTGCGTGGGGAACCCTGTGTGAGAGCCCTGCGTGGGGAACCCTGTGTGAGAGCCCTGCGTGGGGAACCCTGTGTGAGAGCCCTGCGTGGGGAACCCTGTGTGAGAGCCCTGCGTGGGGAACCCTGTGTGAGAGCCCTGCGTGGGAACCCTGTGTGAGAGCCCTGCGTGGGGAACCCTGTGTGAAATCCCTGAAAGTTGGGGAAGTTTTGTGGATTTTTATTTTATTTTGCTTTGTTTTAATAGAAATGTGTTGGCGTTTGGCGAGCCCTAAAAGGACGTTTGGAACGGCGCGGTTCTCACTTACAAAATGCAAATTCCGCTGAGCTGATCATCCTCCATATTATGAGGGATTCCCCTTTATATTTGTAAACATTCCATAAATGGCACCTTATGGTCCTTATGAACTCTTTTCAAAGTTTTTCATTCTCCAGGTCGGCGGTTTTCAACCTTTCATCAGCCAAGGCGCCCTTATAACTGCATGATTGTGGGGCCCACCAGCCTGAGGGCCCGCTCACACCAGAATGTGCGTCCCAGCATGCGCTTTTCTGCGTGGTCGCATTTTTTTAGCGCGCAGTGATCTTCGTTTATAACTCTACTCCCTCCAAATTCCCCCTTCTAGCACAAATCCCCCCCAAATCCCCGCTCCTAGTAGTACAAACCCCACTTTAACCCCCCCTCCATCCCCGATCCTAGCACAACCTCCCTAAATTCATTCTCCTAACACCCCCCCAAATCCCCACTCCTAGTATAAACCCCGCTCCAACCCCCCCCCATCCCCGTTCCAATCACAACCCACTCAAATCCCTTCTCCTAGCACAACCACCCCCAAATTCCCCCTTCTAGCACAAATCCCCCCCTTGGACCTACCCCCAGTTCCCTCTTCTAGCACAGATCCCCCCTCCTAGCACAACCCCCCTAAAATTCCTTCTAGCACAAACTCTGCCCCCCCCAAAATCCCCACTCCTAGTACAAACCCCTTTTCACCCCCCCCTCCTTCCCCTCTCCGAGCACAACCCCCTCAAATCCCCCCTCCTAGCACAACTTCACCAAATTCCTTCTAGCACCCCCTTTCCATATCCCCACTCCTAGTACAAACCCCGCTCCAACCCCCCCCCCCCCCATCCTCTTTCCAATCACAACCCTCTCAAATCCATCCTCCTAGCACAAACCCCCCCCAAATTCCCCCTTCTAGCACAAATCCCCCCCTTGGAGCCCCCCTCAGTTCCCTCTTCTAGCACAGATTTCCCCCCTTAAAGCCCCCCAGTTCCGTCTTCTAGCACAGACCCCCCTCTTGCACAACCCCCCAAATCCCCACTCCTAGTACAAACCCCCCTTCAACCCCCCGATACCCTCTTTGAGCACAACCCCCTCAAATCCCCCACTCCTAGCACAGCCTCCCCAAATTCTTTCACCTAGCGCCCCCCCTCCCCCCAAATCCCCCCTCCTAGTACAAACCCCGCTCCAACCCCCCCCCATCCTCTCTCCAATCACAATCCACTCAAATCCCCCCCTCCTAGCACAAATCCACCCTCCTAGCGCAACCACCCCAAAATTCCCCTTTCTAGCACAAATTCCCCCCCCTTGGAGCCCCCCAGTTCCCTCTTCTAGCACAGATTCCCCCCCCTCCTTAGAGCCCCCCCAGTTCCCTCTTCTAGCACAGAACCCTGCTCCTGGCACAACCTCCCCCCAATCCCCACTCCTAGTACAAACCCTGCCTCAACTCCCCCCCCCCCCATACCCTCTTTGAGCGCAACCCCCTCAAATCCCCCCCTTCTAGCACAACCTCCCCAAATTCCTTCTCCTAGCACCCCCCCCCCAGTACAAATCCCACTTCAACCCCCCCTCCCCGCTATAATCACAACCCACTCAAATCCATCCTCCTAGCACAAATCCATCCTCCTAGCACAAACTCCCCCCCCCTCAAATTCCTCCTCCTACGGCAAACTCCCCCAAATCCCCCTTTCTAACACAACATCCCACCCCCCATCCTTTCTACTCCTAGCACCCCCCTCCCCGTTCCCCAATCCCCACTCCTAGCACAAACCCTGTTCCAACCCCCCCCCCCCCCATCCCTTCTCCCAGCACATTCCCCTCAATTCACCCTCCAAATCCCCCTTCTTTGCAGAATCCTCCCCCCAGCACAAACATGGGCTGTGCTCTCTCCCCACTCTCCCTCCGCCCCCCCCACAATCTTCTCCCTCCTGGAGTTAACATGGGTTGCTCTAAGATCCATCACCTGCCCCCACCCATAATTTCTGCTGCCTGTACAGGAGCAGTGGGGGGGGGGGGGCAGTTATCAAATCCTGCCTATTGGGACGAGAGCGCTATTTCTGGCAAGTGTAATGCCGTCCGACATGTCCTTAACAACCAATGATGTCATCGGTTGGTAGGACGCAGGCGGGCTGGCAATAGTTCACATAGCTGCAGGGAGGAGGAGAGAGCCGTGCAGGCTGTGCCCTCGCTCTCCGAAATAGAGAAAATATCCAGTGAGTGGCAGTTGTGTGGAGGAAAATGCCTTGTTGGGGTCAGAGGTCAGAGGAAAATGGGCAGACTGGTTCCAGATGATAGAAAGGCAACAGGAACTCCGATAACCCCTCGTTACACCCAAGGTATGCAGATTACCATCTCTGAATGCACAACACGTCCAACCTTGAAGCAGATGGGCTACAGCAGCAGCAGAAGACCACACCGGGTGCCACTCCTGTCAGGTAAGAACAGGAAACGGAGGTGACAATTTGCACAGGATCACCAACGTTGGACAATAGAAGATTGGAAGAACGTTGCTTAGTCTGATGAGTCTGGATTTCAGCTGCGACATTCAGATGGTAGGGTCAGAATTTGGTAAAAACAACATGAAAGCATGGATCCATCCTGCCTTGTATCAATGGTTCAGGCTGGTGGTGGTGGTGGTGTCATGGTGTGGTGGATCCATCCTGCCTTGTATCAATGGTTCAGGCTGGTGGGGTGGTGGTGTCATGGTGTGGGGGATCCATCCTGCCTTGTATCAACGGTTCAGGCTGGTGGTGGTGGTGTCATGGTGTGGTGGATCCATCCTGCCTTGTATCAATGGTTCAGGCTGGTGGTGGTGGTGTCATGGTGTGGGGGATCCATCCTGCCTTGTATCAACGGTTCAGGCTGGTGGTGGTGGTGTCATGGTGTGGTGGATCCATCCTGCCTTGTATCAATGGTTCAGGCTGGTGGTGGTGGTGGTGTCATGGTGTGGTGGATCCATCCTGCCTTGTATCAACGGTTCAGGCTGGTGGTGGTGTCATGGTGTGGGGGATCCATCCTGCCTTGTATCAATGGTTCAGGCTGGTGGTGGTGTCATGGTGTGGGGGATCCATCCTGCCTTGTATCAACGGTTTAGGCTGGTGGTGGTGGTGTCATGGTGTGGGGGATCCATCCTGCCTTGTATCAATGGTTCAGGCTGGTGGTGGTGGTGTGGGGGATCCATCCTGCCTTGTATCAACGGTTTAGGCTGGTGGTGGTGGTGTCATGGTGTGGTGGATCCATCCTGCCTTGTATCAATGGTTCATGGATGTGCAGCTGACAAATCTGCAGGAAGTGCGAGATGCTATCATGACAATATGGAATAAAATCTCAGAGGAATGTTTCCAACACCTTGTTGGATCTCTGCCCACAAAGAATGAAGGCATGCTGTTGTTCCCAGTGGCTTCATCTTTGTTATAATCCCACTAACAGTTGAGCGTGGAATATTTAGTAGCCAGGAAATGTCACGGATGGACTTATTGCCCAGGTGGCCACCTATCACGGGACCACGCTTGGAGTCACTGAGCTCCTGAGAGCGACCCATTCTTTCACCAATGTTTGTAGAAGCCGTCTGCATGCCTAGGGGCTTGATTGTATACACCTGTGTCCATGGAGGGGATTGGAACACCTGAATCACATGATATGGAGGGGATTGGAACACCTGAATCACATGATATGGAGGGGATTGGAACACTTGAATCACATGATTGGGAGGGGATTGGAACACCTGAATCACATGATATGGAGGGGATTGGAACACCTGAATCACATGACATGGAGGGGATTGGAACACCTGAATCACATGATTGGGAGGGGATTGGAACACCTGAATCACATGATTGGGAGGGGATTGGAACACCTGAATCACATGATATGGGGGGGATTGGAACACCTGAATCACATGATATGGGGGGGATTGGAACACCTGAATTCAATGATTGGGAGGGGATAGGAACACCTGAATCACATGATTGGGAGGGGATTGGAACACCTGAATCACATGATATGGAGGGGATTGGAACACCTGAATCACATGATATGGAGGGGATTGGAACACCTGAATCACATGATATGCAGGGGATTGGAACACCTGAATTCAATGATTTGGAAGGCTGTCCCAAGGCAGTATGTGAGGCACTTGGGGTCTGAACTGGTCGGTTACGTCTTCTTTTTCTCAAGAAAGATAAAGGATTTCCTGTTGACTTCATTAGTGAGATAAAACCACACATTGCACATTGTAACTCAGATCTCCTTTTCGTCTTAAAGGGCAGGAGAACTGGTGGGGGGTCGGCATTAGGACAGTGTGGTCTCCATGATGGTCCTATGACTTTGGTATGCCATGCTGGCCAACTGATTGTCCGCAGGTCCATGTGTGATGTCATCAGATGACACCTAATGAATGATAACTGGTGGACACATCACGTCTCTGAACACCAGGGAGAGATTGTAATGCAGGGGTGCTCAACCTTTTGAAAAGTGAGGGCCACTTAAGTGATTTGATAACCAGTCGGGGGCCACAGTGAAATAAAATGGTTCAGAATTTAGTTTTTTGTGTTTTTTTTTTTTTAATTTTGAATAGCATAATGAACATTTTCCTCCTCCTGCAGCCGCTGAATGCTGGCCGGAGGGGGAGGAGGAGGTTGCTGGAGGAAAACGGAGAAGATTGGTTCCTGTAAATGCTGCCCCTCCTGTCCAAGTGCAAAGCAGAATGTGACAGGGAGGCCGCATGGGCCCCCTGAAGCATGGGGTGGGGTACCACTGCAACCTCTGACACCAAACCAGTGGTTGGGGGGGGGGGGTAAAAACCACCCACCGCCAAACTGCAAATATAAATGAGCCCTTACTGTCCCGAGCCCCCTATAAGGCTGGGGTTGGCTGATGGGCTGCAGGTTACCTGCACCGTGGGGGCAGCGCAGTGCACCTGCGGCTTTCCAGCAGGTTAGCAGCACTTTGCCATAGACTTCTATTATGTCTTGCAGGTGTGGTGTACTTTTTGAAAGTCCACCAAAACTCCTGCACTCAGTTTGAGGTCAAGGGCCACATCAGAGGGCTCCAAGGTCCATGGGTTGAGCAACCCCCATTGTACTAGTTATATTAAAGGGGGTTGAGTTACCATCCAATCACTTTCATGAGAAAGATATGATTGTGCACTTTGGACCAGTCAGAGATTCCTCAATGGTCACAAATGGAATTAACTAGGTCTTATATTGCTGGGAGGCATCTATTCTTGCTGGCGTGGATCTAATGTTACTGCTGGGGTGCATTTTTTGGGGAGTCTATTGTTGTAGGGGGTCTATTGTTGCTGGGGGGGATTATTGTCACTGAAATGATCTATTATGGCTTGGAGAGTCTATTGTTGCTGGGGGAGCATTATCACTGAGGGGATCTATTGTTGTGGAGGGGGGAATGTTACTACATCAGGGGATTTATTTTACTGCTTTTCTTGTTATCATTAACAAATGCCATACAAGTACTCAGAGGTGGGTCAAGGGGGGGGGGGGAACCAAGGGAAAGTGCTTGGAGGTGGGTAGGGGGCACAGCCGAGGGTGACTCGGAAGGGAGGAGAGAAAAAGCCCTGCCAAATGCTGTATATCCATAATGGGCAAATGGCTGGGCAGAAGGAAAAGTCTGGTCATAGCAAAGAGACATGCAAGCACCACCTGGGGGTGACCACCATAGCACGTAGGAGGACTTTTAAGGGGTACCCCACAAAAAGAACCAAAAAAAAAATGCTTGAGGTCCCCCAAGAAATCTATACCAGACCCTTTAGGTCTGGGTTGTGTCCTAAAGCTCCCATTAACAATAAGGAGGAATTTTAAGGGGGTACCCCACAAAAAGAACCAAAAAATTCTTGAGGTCCCCCAAGAAATCCATACCAGACCCTTCAGGTCTGGGTTGTGTCTAAAAGCTCCCATTAACAATAAGGGGGGATTTTAAGGGGGTACCCCACAAAAAGAACCAAAAAATGCTTGAGGTCCCCAAGAAATCCATACCAGACCCTTCAGATCAGGGTTGTGTCTAAAAGCTTGCATTAATAATGAGGAATTTTAAGGGGGTACCCCCACAAAAAGAACAAAAAATTCTTGAGGTCCCCCAGGAAATCCATAAAAGACCCTTCAGGTCTGGGTTGTGTCTAAAAGCTCCCATTAACAATAAGGAGGAATTTTAAGGGGGTACCCCACAAAAAGAACCACAAAATTCTTGAGGTCCCCCAGGAAATCAATACCAGACCCTTCAGATCAGGGTTGTGTCTAAAAGCTCGTATTAATAATGAGGAATTTTAAGGGGGGACCCCACAAAAAGAAACAAAAAATGCTTGAGGTCCCCCAGGAAATCCATACCAGACCCTTCAGGTCTGGGTTGTGTCTAAAAGCTCCCATTAACAATAAGGAGGGATTTTAAGGGGTTACCCCACAAAAAGAACCAAAAAATGCTTGAGGTCCCCCAGGAAATCCATACCAGACCCTTCAGGTCTGGGTTGTGTCTAAAAGATTACATATTACGACTTCTCATTCACAAAAAATAATATCTGTATTATTTATTATTATTTTTTTATTTGGCACCAACCCGCCGCGTCTACGTGGGTGGAAATCATGAGAGCCGGACAGAACGAAACATGAGAAACTCTTCCAGGAAGCAGCAGATGATGTGATAAACCCCCAAATGTCTCATCAGGTGCCTTCACACCTCTGACCACAGAGCTCCATCTTGTAGGAAGCCTGTACTTGGCTGCTGACTTTTTGGGCCCCATTCACATCTCTGCGTTGTGTCGATGATTTTTCGTGCATTTTTTTTTTTTTTGCAGTTTTGCACGACGCACATAGGGCAGCCCAATCATTTGAATGGCCAACAAATCGGCCAGAGAAGCTCCTGTACCTGACAATGAATGGCAGCGCAATCGTCTGTGGAACGTTGAGGCACACAGAAGCTTCACGTTCACACAACTTGCATCATATTTATTTGCCGTGCCGTTCATTATTAGTATCACCGCAAATGCGGCCAGCGGGCGCACAGTTTTGTGTGTGTCAATATATGCGATAAATGTGCCAAATGACGCAGCTAAAAAATGCGAAGCTCAATGCCCCCAAAACGGGCGGGACCTTATTTGGCGCGTTTGTCATGCATGTCATGCAATAAATTGGCTGCCTTATGTGTGTAGCAGAAAAACCCACCATTTTATCCATCAATGAAAATGCCTCCATTGCTGTCAGGGTAAATGCCCCCCCATGGCATTGGCCTTCAGAGTAAATACCCCCCTTTGCTTTACCCATGAGTGCAAATACCCTTTTGAATTGGCTTTCAGAATACAGTTGCAAGAAAAAGTATGTGAACCCCTTGGGATTACATGGAGTTTTTCATGAATTTGGCAAAAAATGTGCTCTGAACGTCATCTAAGTCACAACAATAGAAGAACACAGTCTGCTGAACATAATACTACACAAACATTAGATGTTGCCATGGTTTCATTGCACATAACATGTAAACATTCACAGTGCAGGGAGGAAAAAGTATATGAGGCCCTAGCTTAATGACTTCTCCCAGAGCTAATTGGAGCCAGGAGTGAGCCAACCTTGACTCCAATCAGTGTGTGATGATATTGGATGTGTTGCTGACACCTGTTTTGGGTTTACTGGTTTCAAGAAGCACTGTCTGATGTGAACCATGCCTCACAGAAAAGAGCTCTCAGGAGACCTACAAACAAGAATTGTTGACTTGCATGAGGCTGGAAAGGGTTTCAAAAGTATCTCCTTGAGCCTTGATGTTCATGTGTCCACGGTAAGACAGACTGTCTACAAATGGAGAAAGTTTAGCACTGTTGCTACTCTCCCTAGGCGTGGTCATCCTGTAAAAATGACTGCAAGAGCACAGCGCAGAATGCTGCATGAGGTAAAGAAGAATCCCAGAGTGTCAGCTAAAGACCTACAGAAATCTCTGGCACATGCTAACATTTTTGTTGACACATCTACAATCAGGAAAACATGAAACAAGAATGGAGTACATGGGAGGACACCACGGAGGAAGCCATTGCTGGCCAAAAAGAAGATTGCAGCACGTTTGAAGTTTGCAAAAGAGCACCTGGATGTTCCACAGCACTACTGGCAGAATATACTGTGGACAGATGAAACCAAGATTGAGTTGTTTGGGAAGAACACACAACACTATGTGTGGAGAAAAAAAAGGCCCAGCACACCAACATCAAACCCTCATCCCCACTGTGAAACATGGCGGAGGGAGCATCATGGTTTGGGGCTGCTTTGCTGCCTCAGGGCCTGGACGGATTGTTTGTCATTGATGGGAAAATGAATTCCAGAGTTTATCAAGACATTTTGCAGGAAAACGTACGACCATCTGTCCGCCAACCGAAGCTCCGCAGAGGATGGGTGATGCAACAGGACAATGACCCAAAGCATACAAGTCATTCAACAAAACAATGGCTGCAACAGCACAGAATACGCCTTCTGGAGTGGCCCAGTCACAGTCCTGACCTCAACCCCATTGAAATGCTGTGGCATGACCTTAAGAGAGAGATTCACACCAGACATCCCAAGAATATTGCTACACTGAAACAGTTTTGTGAAGAGGAGTGGTCCAAAATGACTCCAGATCGTTGTGCAGGTCTGATCTGCAACTACAGGAAACGTTTGGTTGAGGTTATTGCTGCCAAAGGAGGGTCAACCAGTTATTAAGTCCAAAGGTTCACATACTTTTTCCTCCCTGCGCTGTGAATGTTTACATGTTATGTGCAATTAAACCATGGCAACATCTAATGTTTTGTGTAGTATTATGTTCAGCAGACTGTGTTCTTCTATTGTTGTGACTTAGATGACGTTCAGAGCACATTTTATGCCCAATTCATGCAAAACTCCAAAAATCCCAAGGGGTTCACATACTTTTTCTTGCAACTGTAAATGTCCCCATTGCATTGGTCACCAAGGAAAATGCCCTCTTAGTATTACCGTATTTTTTGCTCCATAAGACGCACCTAGGTTTTAGAGGCGAAAACCAAGAAAAAAAAATATTCTGAACCAATGGACTGCAGACACAGTACAGGGGATGACCAGAGACTGCGGACACAGTACAGGAGATGACCAGAGACTGCGGACATAGTACAGGGGATGACCAGAGACTGCGGACACAGTACAGGAGATGACCAGAGACTGCGGACACAGTACAGGGGATGACCAGAGACTGCAGACACATTACAGGAGATGACCAGAGACTGCGGACATAGTACAGGGGATGACCAGAGACTGCGGACACAGTACAGGGGATGACCAGAGACTGCGGACACAGTACAGGAGATGACCAG